TTTCATACGCTGGTGCGTGAAATTTTTAACTGTTTTCCAACGTTTGAACTATTTTTGCATAAAGTATAGTACAAAGCAGTGAAAATCATTAACAGGCAATATCGATGGGCTGAATTGCACAAAACGCATGATCGCACCGGCTAGTCTGGTGCGCGTTGCCATTTATTATTTTCTCGGCCGATACACCATGTGTAGAAGGAGCACCACAAAAGTATGAAATATTCGACTTCTGGTTGATTCTCGAGTGCCACTCGCTCCTCTCCAAACTTGGTCCGGACTTTCCAGCAATGATTATCACTGGTTCGGAATTTTGTTGTTCAATAACCAGTACGTCTTCTAGCGAGATTTCCACATTTCAAATTTAGGTTATTTAACCTTTATTGAAATTGATTAACAAAACGCTTTTTAATGAAGCAACAGGTACAACAATACAATTTAGGTCTGCAAAGCACACACACAGAGCAAAACATAATTTATATTCAAAGGCCAAAACAAACCATAGCACATTTTGAAGGCTAACCCAAAACAAAACATAACCTCTTTTCTTTTTACTGCTCTGCAAGCAGCGCATGACGGCCATACTAACGGCTCCTAAAGAAGAAAATGACAACTGAAAGAAAAGAAATGGGGGGAGGCGGGAATAAGCTTGGATGTAGCTAGTACGTTATTAGTTGATGATCTGGTAAAGGATGAATATTAACCGTCTTCTAAATATGAATGTCGTATACAGCTCCTACATGTGAACAGTCTTCCGACAATAACGATCTGTCGCAAAGGACCCTTAAAAAAACTCACAAAATTTATTGCTGACCCAAAGCAATATCTTGAGACCTCCGGTCTCAACACCAAGCAGCAGTGCAGCTTTGAAAAGAGCCCCACGCAGAACCTTGTAGGTTAACTTTTGGAAAAGAACCACATTTTGGCAGAAGTAGACATAGCTCCCGCATTTTCTTCATTTCAAAAGTACTGTATGAGTCGTGGGGAAATACTTCCACGCCACTAAATCGCATTTATTCGCCAGGTATCACCAACCAATTTTAAGTCAGTCCGCCGAAAAATGAATGAATCAGTCCGCCGGAAAATGAAATTTTTCGGGAGCGCAATTTTTGTTTTTTATCAAATTTTAGGATAAGATATGCGTAAATCTCCACTTTTTAAAAAGAAACAGCACTTTTAATTGCCTTCGGCACGGCCTTTATTTCTCTGTTCAAG